CCCCCCCCCCCCCCTATTTTAACCTATAATTTGATATTTTGGTGTTAGGTTTGAAATTTTTTTGAAAATAGTAGATTTGCGACAGTTTTAATGGCTATATTATTATGTGTGATCTGCAGCAAATAATATTCTGCGGTTTGACCCCCCAAAGCACTGCCTCTGTGTGCGGGAGTACGTCTCCGAATAGTTCCTGGGTGCTCGCCGGAGACGTTTCCGAACATCTCCTGCCCAATATTAATGTTTTCCATGGTCACTCACGGCATGAATCCTCAACAATAATTTAACTATTTTGTGTATGCACGTGTGTGTGTATGTGTGTGTGTATGTGTGTACGTGTGTATGTGTGTCTGTGTGAGAGAGAGTGTGTACACGAGTGTGTGTGTGTGCGCGCGCCTGTGTGTGTATATATATATGTGTGTGTGTGTGTGTGTGTGTGTGTTTGTGTGTGTGTGTGTGTGTTTGTGTATGTGTATGCGTATGTGTATGCGTATGTATGTGTGTGTCTGTTGTGTATTTGATCGGCACCAAGCGTTAAGCGCATGCCGGCGCAGTTTTTTCTACAATAAAGTAACAGATAAAGTATCCTTACTTGGCTGGCCACTATGTGCAGAGGCGTGTTCATTTCGTCGTCCCTGAGATTAGCTTCAACCCCTCTCTCCAGCATCATCTTCACTACCTCAATGTTGCGGCTGGCAGCCGCCAGGTGGAGTAATGGAACGGTCATGGTCTCCTGACCTTTGACCTCTGCGCCACGTTTGATCAGAAGCGAGGCTATTTCAAAATGGCCGGCCGTTACGGCGGAGCGCAGAGGCGTAAAATTATTCTTATTGAGTGCCTTAACAGTGCCACCTGCTTGGATAATATCGTCGATAACGTCGATGAAACCACAGGCAGCAGCGAAGTGGAGGGGCGTGTCTCCTTCTACATTGACCGCGTTTTGACACATGGAGGCGACACTAGATGACAGCAGTATCCTACAGGCTTCAAGATTTTTTAGCGAGATCGCTGTAGCGAGAGGTGTTTTGCCGTCCACCTTGAAGTTGACATTGGCACCACTTTGCACGAGGTCTTTCAGCTTCTTGTTCTCAACGTCCTTAATGTACACATGCAGCATGCAGCTTCTTGATAACGGCAGCTCTTCCTCAAGGCTGAGCTTTAGGTACCTCTTTAAATCTTTGCCAATAGGTAATGAGTCAATCCTACATAGGGTGTTTCTTACTCCTAACATTTCTCGAAGTTTCAGTCGTGCCTGGAACTGGAGAGAAGCAGGCACTCGTGAACGCATCCAGTCTTCAGTTTCCCTCTCGACTGTTTTGTACTGGTCTAAAATGGTGGGGTTTTTGTCCAATTGTTCTACAACTAGCCCTGAATGAAAACCACCAGGGTACGGGTAGGTTGCTTCCCTCAAAACTCTCAGCAGCAAAAATTGCTCGCGGAGTTTGTCTGGGTTTTTTTCACGCGGTGCAGCCATCATGGTCCAGGCCAAAGTCGACAAAGCTTTGATCTCATCAGATCTTTCATAACACATGTACTCCTTCCGACAGTAAGCACCGAAGTACACTAGAAATCTGCAAATCTCGAAAACTGGCATAGTGTAATAGAGAGCTTTCTGAAAGGGTGTTCGACGGTTTTCATCACAGACTTCCAAATTGCATCCGTTTTCTGCTAGTAAGCAAAGCCCGTGGACGTCTTTCTTGTCCACAACATGGTGCAAAGCCGTGCGTCCTCTGAAGTCTTGAGCGTCCACGTCACAGCCAGCCTTGATCAACATCCGGCAGATCTCTAACATGTCGGTGATTTTCTTTTTTTTCCACGCACGACTGGAGCGTAAAGGAGGGAGAGCTACCATCAGTGGCGTCAGTCCAGATTTTTTGTTGGCGATGTTCACGTCACAGCCGTTTTCAGTGAGCACTCGCACACAGTTGACGCTGACGTGAGAGCATGCTCGAAAAAGTGGAGTTTCACCATTAACATCTGGGGTATCTAATTCCGCATTATAGCGGATCAGCTCTTCTGCAGCCTCATGGAAATCGTCATAACAGCATGCACTTAATGGCGTCACTCCCTGTGGGTCCTGTTGGTCGACGTTTGCGCACATAAACAAAAGCTCTAAAATGGAAATAAAATAGGTTATACAAAGGCATATATTTCATATTTTAAATGTCGGTCTGTTTAGGCCCCCATCAATACACGTTAGAGTATTTTAGAGGCGTGTATATTTCATTTGCAGCCAAACTAAAAATCAAATCAATTATTGATGCCATCTATTTAGTTCTAGTAAACATCGACAGAATAAAGTTCATTAAATCTTAGAAGAATCCTGATACACAGAAACGGTATGCAAAATGCCATCTTTTCCCTATAGATGCTCATGGAAAGATCAAATGAGACTACTCTAAAGCATTTGACAAAGTGAGACATAAAGGACCATTCAACATCCCAACAGATCTGAACATAGAGGGAAATGACCTAAGAATCCTGAGAAACCTTTAAAATTTAA